AGCTCCACATCTTCTGTAAACTGCTTGAAGAAAAGCACACGATTACTCAGTAATCCAACTGAGTCGAGTCTGGGAGGTAATGCTTCTTTTTAAATGTCTGAATTGCATCAAAAAAAAAGTTATTTCTTCCAAAGAAGCTACACTTCTGAGGACAACACTCTGCTCGAAGACAGACCTGGCTTCTGGCATCACACAATACCTGTAACTTTCTGAAACACCTGCCTAAGGGTTACTTTTCAGCTTTAGATCATTCTAAGGAGAGGTGGGGACTTGTTGACAACTGCGAAATGCAACTGCTTAAACAAGTGGTGTTCCCAGAAAGAAGAGAAACAGTCCGCTAGCAGGTCCACCCTGCCCCACGCAAGGGTAGTGTGGCCAAGTGCCCACGTAGCGGAAAAGAGCAGCGTGGGGCGGGGCGCCACGAGGGGGCGGAGCTTCGGGCCCAGCGTGAGGCCTAGTTGGCTTTCAGGGCTGTCTTTGATAGTGGGCCCCTAAGGTTGTCCTTCCTTGACTTCGGGGCTACGCTGGCTGGGTGCTGCCTTGGCGGGAGTTGGCTGCGGGTGTGAGGTGAGCTCTACAGCAGCCCTCAGGTAAATTCAAGTCTGCGTTCTTGGGAGGCAATTTGCAACTTTTTAGAAGTTTTTTTTTTTTTTTTGGTCCCCCTAACTCCTCTAGCTTCAGAATCTTAGGGTCTAGTTGTGGCCAGTGCACCTTGTTACACAAGAAAGATAAGATGGTGGACAAAATGGACTCTACAAGTTCTGAAAGACATGGTAAGCCTGGGTTAAAGTTGGTGGACACACACATACTTACTTCTTGGGCAGACAAAGTGACACAAATAAGGAGAAGGGGCAGTTACACCCTAGTGGGAATGGGGGAGGGAATTATACCTCAGGGGTGGTAAATCAGGAAGGAGGGATGTGAACCAGCTTTCTGCGCTCTTGGACCCAGGATGAGGCCTATATTCTTGAAGTATCACAATGTCTGCTCTGAAACTCTGGAATCCTCTGGTATGCCAGGTGGGCTCAGTATCTGGGGTCAGTACAAGAACAAAGCTCAGCCATTCATTTATTCTATACTGCTCTGACCACTTGCCTGTCCCTGGGAACATAGCCAAAAGATGAATGGACGGATATGGTCTCCCATCACATGGAGCTTGGGGCTAAGACAGGAGTGGGATGTTAATCAAAGAACCACACAAATAAACACTGGCCATAGGCCCAGCTGAAAGCCAGATGCCTTGTGGCTACAGCAGATCTCTATGCTCTAGAGCGCCAATCAACAACAAAAAATGACACTGGGGAGGCCTGACTTGTTTTTCATGACCTCAAACTGGCTCCTGGTGAGGACCCTTAACTCAGAATTTTGCTACAACCTAAACTCTAGCTAAGATATGTGTGTAGCCTGGAAACCTCATTTTATTAGAACTTCTCTGCCCATGAGTCCATGTCCAGCCTTCGGGTACCCCCAGGGTCTCACAGATGTGTCCGGGTCCCCAAGAGTCCCATCATAACCTCCAAGCCTGCCTGGGAACATGAACCAATAACTCCTGTCCGTAAGGAGTACCACGGCTTGCAACTACCCCACCCATCGGCGCAAACAGCCCGCTGGCAGGCCCGCCCCGCCTCACGCAAGGATAGTGTGGCCACGTGCCCACGTGGCCAAGAAGCGCAGCGTGAGGCGGGGCGACAGGAGGGGGCGGACCTTCAGGCCCAGGGCGCATCCCAATTGGCTTTCAGTGCTGTCTTTGATGCTGGGCCACTGAGGGCGCCCTTCCTTGCCTTTTGGCTACGGCTACGTGGGTTGGGCTGCTGCTTTGGCAGGAGTTGGCGGCAGTGTGAGGTGAGAGGCACAGGGGTGGTGGCAGGGTAAGGTCAGAACTGGCCTGGGAATTGTCCAGAGATATTCTTGCGTGGGTAGTTGGACCGAACCAGCCCTTTGGGAGCCGGGGGGTGGTTGGACAAGAGCAGGCCGTGCGAGTCTCCATGCATGGGAATCATCCTATGAGCGAGGGCGCGGGGGTTGGGGGGTGGGGGGATGTCCCATGACCTGAGGGATGGCACTGGAGAGTCCTACTTTGCCTCTCCCTGGGCCTCACGTTAACCTGGGCCCGGAGAAGGGGGCATCCAGGATAGAAGTTAGGCCCTGCCACTCGGGCACGGGCCGTTTCTTCCCTCTTGGAGCATCTCAGAGAACGCCCACCGGGGATCTGGTGACGGACAGGACGTGGGTCTGAGGGACCCCGGGTGGCAGAGGCGAAGGGGTTATGTTCCAGTTGAGTCTTAAAGCATACTTTCTGCATATGGTGTTTTGGTTAAAGAACAGGCAAACGGAAGTTTGGATTTTATTCTTTTATCAGGAGCTGCAAACTCTAATGTACACTGGGGTTAGGCATCAAGTGTAACTGATGTAGCAAACTGGAGGGAGCATGGTGCTGGATAAAGGGACAGCAGCAGCTGGGCTCTAGCCAGAAGCAGCCCCTGTGGGATGCAAGCCCAGAGATGCCAGGTCTCAGATTTCTCACAGCAGCAGCTGGAAACCTTGCCTTTTTTATGTAACAAGCTCTGCGTTTTAAATGTTGGTGTTAGTTCATAATATTTTAGAACACTGTATGGGCCAAAGAAAATTTATATGGGTGAACTGAATTTGGCTTTCTGCTTACCAGTTTGCAGCTTCTGTCGTAGGGAGGGTGGTGAAGAACATCCAGTCAGGAGCTACAGGCAGACTGAGATCTATCCTCATTTTAGGGTTTTGAGCACTAGAAAAGTATAACCCAAAACTGACCTCTGGATTTTGTAAGCTGAGTAGTTGACTTAGTTGGTGGATCAGGGTTACCCTTGTCCTTTGCTCTGCCCATTTGGGGCTAGCACAGATCTAGTGGGGTTAGATGTTTGAGGGAAAGGTGGTTTGGGGCTGAGGAGCAACCATCCTCCTTACAAGGCAGGTGGGACTCCCCGCATTGCAGCTTCAGCTTAAGAGCACCCTGTGCCAGCTATCTGTTGATGAAGCTGTGAGAACATTTTCAAAGGAAGGAGTGCATGTGAGGTAAGGGCCTGTACACATTGAGTTTCTATGACTCTTATTGCTTGGCTTAATGGTTAATGGTTCTAGATTGTGCTCATTGGGCACTGTGGAGGGGGGAAACCCAGAGGAATTCTGGGATATGGTCGTTTCAGTCAGCCAGCCAGCCCTTTCTGGATCCTTCCTGTGTACACAGCAGACTGCTGGTACATGAAAAGATAGTTGCAGCCCTTGCCCTCAGGTCACTTTCAGATGATGTTGTGGTTACCGAGTGCTGCTCTGACAAGAATATACCACAGATGGGATAGCTGAACAAACAGGAATTTATTCTCTCATAGTTTGGAGGCTTTAAGTCCAAGTACAAAGTGCCAAGCTCTAGGGGCTGGGTGAAAGCCCCTTACCCTTGGGCTTCAGCTCTGCCTCCAGCTCCCGGCCCACTGGAGCTAGAGGCTTCTTCACTCAGACAGCTGCTGGCTGCTGAGGCTGCCAAGCCCAAGGTTGACAGATAAAACGGCACAATCCTGATGTTACCAAACCACACAGCAGGCCATTAATTCAAGTCTATTGTAAGTCCCAAGGTCGGCAGAGCATGGCAGGCTACTAAACAACGACATGGCTGCATGCAGGGTCCAAGCATACCATAAGCTAGAGACCGTTCCCCAAGGCTTCTGCTTATATATGGAAAGCAGACCACATACCCCAAGCAGCTGCTCAGCTGCTTGTGGTAGATCCCACCATGGAGTTGATTGCCAGTCTCATCCTGGGGAATAACTACCACCAGCTGCCCAGCCACTCAACCAGGCCCAGCCAAGTTGATACACAAACATAATCACCACAGATGACATGGGGAGGTGAAATCTCAGCTCTGAAGGTGGGCTTCACGTGACTGTCCAGCAAGCTTGGGTTGGGGGACTCAAGGTGGAGAGGGAAAACCTAGAGCATGGTAAGAGGCATTACGCACTGAGAGCAATGGGCAGAATTTGGTAGGATGGTGAAGATAGGAAAAGACATTCCCAGATGGGTGTGTACATATTGGGGTAGAGATAATGTAAATAGCTGGACCAAGCTATGAGGGAATTCTACTGTCACATGGGGTCACTATTGAGTCAGCATCAGCTCTCTTGTACCCAACAACCACAGCAACCCATTAGGGATATGGTGAGATTAGGCCAAGAGGGATTTTTTAGGGCCTGATATTTGTGTGTGGGGGGTGTTGTTCAGTGCTATTGTATAGGAAGTAGATGTTTATCCAGGAGAATGTGGTGGTGGGCAGGAGGTATCTGAGAAGATACCAAAGGGGTCTTCTGTAGGAAGTGCTGTATGAGAGGGGGCATATTGTGGGAAAGTATCTTGTCCCCAGCCTGGTGAGCATTCTGTGTGGCATTTCTCTGAATTCTATGCTTCAGCTGCCCCCTACCTAGTGCCCAGCCTACATCCCTGTAATGATAGAGTAGATGAAGGGCAGCCCTGTGCCACGGAGGAGAAGAGCAACTGAGCTGGTCTGGTGGCTTTCTGGTGCTGTTCTGCCCTGGCAGTTTTGTACCTCCTTCCTGCTAATCTCCATACCCTTGTCCTTTTCCACTGCACAGAAAAAGTCTGAGTCTCAGCACTGCCCCCATCTGTGCTGGGAAGTGGCAGAGTAGGTACTGATGGTGAGACAACTGATCCTCCTCATGTTGACATGAGGGAGCCCCTTACCTGGATCCTGAGAGACCTTTTACACACAGCTGGCTTCTTGGTAGGACCAATGTGGGGATGAGGTAGGGCTTTGATTTGAGCCCCTTTCCTAGCTTCCAACTCAGGTTCTCCTCATCACTGCTAGCTTGATTGTTGCTTGTCTGTCTTGGGATTGGGGCCTTAGGGATCACCCCAGAGACCCCTGTACCTGTAGGTACTCCCTCCATTCTTCTACCTGTTCCCAGATCAGGTTCCTGTGGGGATAGGCTGAGGCAGCTGGTTCCCAGATCTCCAGGGCTCTCATGGATACCATGTTGGGAGCCAGGCTTCAGACCCAGCAGAATGAGAGGAGCAGACACCATGGCCAGGAGGTAGTGTGGTAACTTCCATTCCCAGAACACCTTCTTCCCTATCCCCATCCACCTCTCCTGTTGCTTGGTTGGGCCCCCTCCTCCTGGAGCCTCCCTCCCTCTACCATGAACTTTGAGTCCTTTTACCTCTCCCTGTGGCCCTTTTCCAGACTAGCCTGTGGTCCTCAGGCTTTGGGATGAAGCTAGAGGCTGTCACCCCATTCCTGGGGAAGTATCGTCCCTTTGTGGGTCGCTGCTGCCAGACCTGTACCCCCAAGAGCTGGGTAAGTAATGGTAGGGGCAGGCAAAACCCTGGGAAGCTTGAGGTAGCTTGGTTCTGGGAACTACGGCTCTGGGAAGCCACTTCCTTTATGTCCTTCCAAGCTGTGGCCCTCGGTTGACCCATGCGTCTGCTCTTGTCTTTCAGGGTAATGGATGAACTAGTATTGGTGTGTTTGGGGGCTGTGGCTGGTTCCCTAGGCCTGGGAGAGTTGGGTGGGGAAGTGCAGAGGGGCCTGAGAAAAGGTAGGGCATGACCAGAGAGTTGCCTGCATGAATGCTGGTATTCAGTTTTGGGGACACTTGCTCACTCAGACTTCTCCAAGCACTCAGCCCATTTGAAGGCCTCTGGTGGCACAGTGGTTAAGGCATTCAGCTGCTAACCAAAAGGTCAGAAGTTTGAACCCACCAGTTGCTGCATGGGAGAAAGATGAGGCAGTCTGTTTTCATAAAGATTTACAGCCTTGGAAACCCTGTGGGGCAGTTCTTCTCTGTCCTATAAGGTTGATAAGAGTTGGAATCGACTCAATGGCGGTGGGTTTGGTTTTTTTTTGTGTGTGTGTCCATGCCATGTGCTGGTGTTGCTGGGGTGAGGGTTCTGGTGGAGATCTAGGCTTTATATTCTCTGCTCTTGAGACTGGTAAGAGGAATAGCATCAACACACAATTACAGAGTGTGGAGCTAAGGGGGAGAGTAGAGATATGTAGAGTACAGGGTACCCAGAGGAGGGAGGGGGACCTTCACTGAGGAGGGCCCTAAAAGGATGAGAGGATGTGTTCCCCTGCAGCAGAGGGGAGAAGGAGAGTAGGAGGTGTTTGCACACATGATACAGGTAGATCTGTTTCTCTTTTGTCTCTAGTTCACCAGTTCCACAGGATATTAATAAACGTTACCCCCAAAAAAGTGTTCCTTGATCAAATCTGAGTTAATCAAATTTATAAAGGTTTCTTGCCTACAGGACTTCGCAGAAACTTTAGTATGCTACTCTCCAAGAAGGTGATCCTGTACAGAGTGCAACACCTAGCATTTTGACCAGGGAACTCTTTTTCCTGAGCCTGTCTTCAGAAGGTGGGGTTGAACATGTTTTGGGAAGTGCTATGGTATAGCCCTGGCTCTTGGTAGATTTGATAGGCCATCAGGCACAGACTAGAGGGGTAGGGTAGGGATGTGCCCTTGCCAGTCTTTGAAGGCCCCTTGGACATGTTCTCTCTCTGTCTCTTGGACAGGAGTCCCATTTCCACAGAAGCATAATGGATCTAGGCTTCTGCGATGTGATCTTGGTGAAGGAGGAGAATACCAGGTAGCTGGAGCTGGGGGGTGAGGTGGGGTGATGGGCAGAGCCCCTTGTGCAGAGGGCTGCTGGGTTCCTGCTTTGGTACGATTTTCTTCTGAGGGAAAAAGAAGAGCCCATGTCCTCTGGTACACACCCTCAGGCAGGGGAGCCAGACTGGATACTCTCCCACAGTTCTTTCTTCTGAGAAGTTTTTGATTGCCCCTGGATGTCAGGCCCTGAACCTGCACCTCACTCATTTGGGAGAGGGGTGGGAGTAGGGCACAGGCACACAGTTCTTCCTGCTCCATGATAAGCAAGCTCAGGTATTCCTGGGGTGGGGTCCTGTCCTGCTCAAGTAGCCTTCTGTGGGCTCTGATGTGTATATGGTGTAAGGGTGGGCTCTCTCTAAAAGCTGTCCCTGATGACTCTGGGGGCTGTGCTCAGGTTTCGAGGCTGGCTGGTTCGGAGGCTCTGCTATTTTCTGTGGTCAATGGAACAGCATATACCCCACTGCCCGGATGTCCCACAGAAGATCATGGAAAGCCCTAAGTAAGGAGGCAGGGACCTGGCTCTGGCTGGTCCTACTGGGATCCTTGAAGAAATGACAAAGCCTCCAGGCAGGGGTGGCAGAAGGGGCTGGCTGTGGAAAGGCTTCTAGAATAACAGCTTTGCCTGAGGCCTTTCCTTAAAGATTATGGGCATAATGGAGGGTGAAGACTAAAGGCTATGTTTGGGGAGGTGGTGGGACAGAGGGAGGTGGCTTGAGAGACCTTGGGGTGCCTCAGCAAGAGGGCCAGAGCCAGAGCCCTGGCCTGCCTCATCCTGACTGCCCCATAACACAGGGTACAGAGCATCATCTCAGGGAGGGCCCCAGGAGGGGCTGGAGAAGGTCAGTTGCCGAGTCATGTGAAGAAAGAGGTACAGCGCATCCTGGACCACATCCAGGCCCCACCCCGCCCCTTGCTGCTCAGGTATATCTATGCTGAGGGGCACTCATCCCTTGGTGGGGCCACTGCCCTTCTAGAGAGTAGGAGGTGGTTGGGCTTGAGGAAGGGCAGGGCTCCATTCCTGTGGGAGCTGGACAGTGTGTTTACCAGAGTGGGTTACAGACTGCTGTCACCACCTCCCTCCCCTTCCCATTGAGGGGAGGAGTCACCACCATGCACTCATCTAGCACCTGTATGAGCTATTAGGTGTAGGGCAGTACTCCAGGAGAACTGAGGTGGTACACAAGTAAACTGAGGTACAAACAGCTACAAGAAGAAAGGAACGAGAGGCTGATGCTGAGAATACTTGGAGGAGGAGGAGGAAGAGACTTCTAAGCCACGGCCTGAAGGAAGAGAAGGAGCCTGACTTGGGGGAGCAAGGATGGGGTGGGAGGGGACATACCTGATAGAGGGACTAGCATGAGCTAAGGCCCCTGGGTAGGAAAGGGCTTGATTTGTTCTAGAAGCTAAAAGAAAGCTGATGTAGTTGAAACTTAGCAAGGGAAAGAGAGTTGTTTGAGATGAAATTGAGAGGTAGAAGGGACCTGATCATGCAGGACCATATAAGAAGTTTGGGTTTGATTTCTAAGTACACTGAAAACCAGTTGAAAGTCTTTAAGTAGGGAGAGACAACATGATGGATTGGGGTCAAGAGGGGAAACCAGAAGACCATTTGGGAGGAGGCTATTTTGTTCATTTAGGTGAGACATGATGATAGGTAGTAATGGTAGAAGTTGAAAAAAGTGGCTTGAGAAATCAGTATAAAATTAACAGAACTTGCTGATGGATTGTATAGTGGGGTGGGGCAATAAGGGGAAAAGGGAGAAATCACAGGAGAACTGGGTTCCTTGCCAAGCAGCTATTGGTATATATGGGGAGGAGACAGGCTTGAGGAGGAGTGAGGATGTCCTTGGTCCAGGAAGGATGGTATGGACATAAAGAACGTCAGATACCCGACATGCTCACAGAGACACTGAGTAGGCAGTTGCATATATGAGTCTGGAGTTCAGAAGAGAGGCTGAAGCCAGGGATATACATTTACAAAGGCTTATCATACAGATGATGTTTACAGCCAAAAGGATGGATGAAGTCACCATGCAAAAGAGACCTCAGTACTGTGTGTCTCAAGGTCATCTGTCTTGAAAGTGCTGAGAGATGGACTGAGCAAGGACAGGAAGTAGAGGTTGCCAGTCCCCTCACCCAGACCTCCACTATGACAGTTCTTTGACTTTGTTGAGACTTCCAGCCCTTTGACCTGAGTAACCACCTTTACACTAGCCATCAGTCCCCCTCCCGTCTTTCCTGCCTTCCCAGCCTGGCTTAAATTCCTTGGTTCATCATGAGAACAGTGCCCTTGTGAAGAAGTGACAGGGCAGAACCCCAGTTCTGTTAGAACACAGCTGCCTACCTTCTCTGTCTGTTCACCTAAGCGGCCAAACATTGTTAGAGAAAAATACAACCAGCTAGACCAGTTTCCTTTATGATTGCAGATCTCAAAAGGGCACACAGCACTGCACTGTTGACTGAAGTCCTCATCTCATGCTTCATGCTTGTCCTACCACATCTCTATACTAACTGCATCTACATGGTTGTCTTTCTGCCTCCAGTTGAAGCTGATGTCCCCATAGAGCCTGTGGACAACCTCTCTCCCCAAGGACTTTGCCCCTTCAGTTATTCCCATTCCTTCTTTTATCACTAAACCCTCCCTTTTTATTCCACATTACCCAGTAGGTTGCAGAGAGCAAGCTGGTTTATACTCTGAGAGCATCTTGGTGCTTTAGTTTCCTTTATGGTAAATGGTGGTAGGGAGGTGCTCTGTGGTTGATAGGAGGCAGAGCACTATGAGATCTTTTGAGCATCATAGCCTAGCAGCTATGGGACCTGGTGTCAGGGCCAGCATCACTACTACTTAGCATTCTCTACTGTTAAGCAGTTTCTTTAAGCTCTCTGAGCCACACTTTCCTTTTCTGTTAAATGAGGAGAACAATAACCCCTGCCTTAGAGGATTGCCAGAGGGCTTTGGGCTGTGCCTTTTGGCTGGTGACATCCTGCCACACCTCAGGCTGGGCCATCTTTCCCCAGGCTGTTCAGCTGGGTGCTGCTGCGGTTCCTGAACTGCCTCTTCTTGAATGTGCAGCTCCACAAGGGTCACATGAAGATGGTTCACAAGGCCTCCCAGGCGGTAAGGCCAGCCCTCCGTTGGGACTGGGATGGCGGGAGCAGAAGAGCAGAAGCTAGGCTAAGCCCTAATGTCAGAACCAGCCCCGTCAGCTGGTGGGAAAAATCCTCTGCTCTTTGGCGACCTCCTCTTAGTGTCTCATGGTCCTGCTCCCATGGGGCCGCCTGTAACGTCTTTTTGTCATGGTCTTAACCATTATGTTAGTATATTACCTTAATAATTGTTGGAAAAGTTCTACTTTTGGGAAATGTGCTTAGAAGGAGGAAGTGTTCTGCCTAACCCTCCTCTCTCTGGGGCTGCCCTGGGTGTAGAGGCTGCTGGGTGTCTGCTCCTTGCCTTCAGGGTGGGGGCAGACTGGCACTCCCTCTGCCTCTCTCTGGGGCAGGGCTCGCCGCTCGTCTTCCTCTCCACCCACAAGTCTCTCCTAGATGGCATCCTGCTGCCCTTTGTGCTGCTTGCCCAGGGCCTAGGTGTGCTTCGTGTGGCTTGGGATCCTCACACCTGCTCCCCTGCCCTCAGGTAAAAGCCTTGTGCCCCTAGACACACATAGGGGAAGTCCCTAGGCTAGGACAAGGGTATGTGGGGGCATGTATGGGGACCTGCAGGCAGCAGTTCCTCAAAGGCCCTTTACCTGGACTCTTTGCTCAGGTAGAGGAGCAGCAACAGGCCCTAGGGCCACACCTGGCCTTCTGGTGTTCAGGCAGGACCTAGGCTGGCCCTCATCAGGCTATGGTTGTCACTGACATCCTGCTTGGTCCCATCTCTGGAACTCCTTCCCTCATCAAGATCTGCCCTGTGCTCCACAGGGCTCTGCTGAGGAAACTAGGGGCACTCTTCCTGCCTCCAGAAGCCAGCCTCTCCCTGGACAGCTCTGAGGGGGTCCTGGCCAGGGCTGTGGTTCATGTGGTAAGTACCCCAATGGTTGTGTATGGGGCAGGACAAAGGTATAGGGGTCGGTTTCTGATCTGGCCTTGATGCCCACCTTTTCCTTTCCCCCCACACCAGGCCATAGAACAGCTTCTGGTTAGCAGGCAGCCCCTGCTCATCTTTCTGGAGGAGCCCCCTGGTGTTCGGGGGCCACGGCTGTCAGCCCTAGGCCAGGCGTGGCTGGGAGTGGTGGTGCAGGCAGTCCAAGCAGGCCTTGTCCCAGATGCTGTGCTGGTGCCAGTGGCTGTCACCTATGACCTGGTTCCAGATGCTCTGCCTGACATACACCATGTGAGACCCTCCTGCCCCCTTGGGACTCCCAGGTAGACAGCAGCTCCAAACAAGAGGCACAATATTGTATTCTGTGTTCAAGTTCCCATAGGGCTGAGGTCAAGAGAGGTGTGCAAAGGAATCCACTCCCTATAGTCATTATCCTGTAGCACTTGCCAAAGTCATTATAGTTATCTCATTTAATCTTCAAAAGATCCTGCAAGGAGGGTTTGCACCTGCTTTTTGGAGAAGCTAGGGTCATGAATCAGATTGGGCCCAAGATAAAGTTGAATAGGCTGCGACCAGAGGGCACATCTTTGGAGAGTGGCATAGGGTTGGCAGCCCTAAAACCGTTAGTGATGTCTCACATGTGCTGACACACTAAGTCTCTCCTGCCCTACAGGCTTCCACCCCACTGGGGCTGTGGACGGGAGTTCTGGGTATCCTGCGGAGCCTGCGCAAGTGTTGGGGCTGTAGACACCGGGCCTGTGTCCGTGTACACCTGGCCCAGCCCTTCTCCCTGCAGGTAGGGAGCAAGTTAAGCAAGACTGGAAATAGTCACTTTGAGGTGCAAGTCATCTGTCTGTTCTGGGGCTTCTGGCAGCCTGGCCCTCAAAGTCCCTGCAGGGCTAGTGCTGACCTTAGGTGGGCTATGTGTAAGTGTCATGGTGGGCCAGGGCAGGCCATCTAAGAGCTTTGTTCTGGCAGGAATATACCATCAATGCTAGGAGCTGCTGGGGCAGCAGGCAGACCCTGGAGCAGCTGCTGCAGCCCATTGTGCTGGGTCAATGGTAGGTGCAGAGGAGTGTTGGTCTGGGGCATGGGGCAGCCCTCCTGGCCCAGCTGTGTTATGACAACCCCTCTCCCAGGCTACATCTCTCTCTTTCTCTCTCTCCTCTCCCTCCCTCTCCCTCTCTCTCATTCACTCTTTCTCATTCACTCTCTCTCACACACACACACACACACACACACACACACACACAAAACCAGCTCCAGCCTTTCGTCCCCAAATATCCTTGGCTAATCAAGCAGAACAGTATCAGGTGTCTCCCCCTACTATGATCTGGGTATGGGATGTGGCACACGGACCTGGACACATGAACCATCCCCTCCTCCAGGGCTGTGGTGGGGGAAATACCTTTACCTTTGAGAAAGTCTAGGGGAGGGAGGTTTTGTTTTTAGGTTTGATCCTTTCATCCTGTCATCTGTGTCTTTATCTCAGGACTGCTGTCCCAGACACTGAGAAGGAGCAGGAGTGGACCCCAGTAACTGGGCCCCTCCTGGCCCTTAAGGAAGAGGACCAGCTCCTGGTCAAGAGGCTGAGCCGTCATATCCTGAATGGTGAGGATGAACTGGATCTGGGCCTTTGAGGGGTGGTTCTTGAGCAGTCCCCTCTCTCTCTCTCTCTGGGTCAGCCAGTTGTTAGGTTCCTCCATCCCAAGGGTTCTTCCTTCCACCCTCCCTATGAGGCACACTACTTGGAAGGGAAGGAGCTCTGGTAGCATAGTGCCTAAGGCACTTGACTGCTAACCAGAAGGCTGGCGGTTCAAACCCACCAGCCACTCCTCGGAAGGAAGACTGGCAATCTACTTCTGTAGTGATACTGCCTTGGCAACCCAAGGAGGGGTCGCTATGAGTCAGGGCTGTCTCGATGGCACAGAACAACAACAACAACAACAACAACAACTTGGAAGGGATATCCAGGGAAGAGTGGAACCTACCCCCCGGGCAGTGTGGAGCATCCTGCTTTCTTTGCAGGGCAGCCAGGGAAGACCTGAGGGGCTGCTGAAGGAGCACATGATAGGCTGCCTGCACTGTAAGATGGAGTTGTGCAGTGAGGGTGGTACCCAGGTCTAGCCTACCTCGGTCACACTGAGCCCGTTGTGGGCTCGTAACTTCACCCTTGAGCCCGTTTCTTTAGCTGAAATTGGGGATAATGTTAACTGAATGGAATCATTTATGCAGGGGACTTAACACAGTGCCTGGTTCAGAGAGTGCTTCTCCTAACAGAATTATCTTTATTGCTCTCTTCTGAAGTACCCCTTTTGTAGCCGACATTGTGGATTGATGAGTGGGGTCTTTGAGAGACAGGGAAGGTCTCTGGGCATCTGGCTTGGCTCTCAGCGTGTAGTTGATAAATGCAGATTCTCTGCCAGGAAGAGTGGGACCCAGGGATCAGGCCTGCTCACCTCCTCCCTGGGTTGGAGTTGTGTGTGTGGCTGTTGCCAGGGAGGCAGGGGAGTTTTCTTGGTTAGGAAGACTTGTCAGGGACCAAGCTTCTGGTCTCAATCCCTGACTAGCATTCCCTTTTCCCCGGCCCCAGCCAGCGTGGCAAGTTCGGCGGTGATGAGCACAGCCATTATGGCGACACTGCTGCTATTCAAGCACCAAAAGGTAGGGCAGAGTGTGATAGGGGGCCAGGGGAGGGGGTGCGGCCTCTTGCTCAGCCCTCTGCCCTGCCCACCCAGGGCGTGTTCCTGTCTCAGCTCCTGGGGGAGTTCTCGTGGCTGACAGAGGAGACGCTGCTGCGTGGCTTTGACGTGGGCTTCTCAGGGCAGCTGCAGTGCCTTGTGCAGCACACTCTGAGCCTGCTGCGGGCACATGTGGTACTGCTGCGTGTCCACCAGGGGGACTTGGTGGTGGTGCCAAGGCCTGGCCCAGGCCTTACACACCTGGCACACCTCAGTGCTGAGCTGCTGCCTGCCTTCCTGAGTGAGGCTGTGGGTGGTGAGTCCTGAGGGCCCAGCACAGGTGGGATGTGTTTGCAGGGGTAAGGGGAATGGTTTCCTTCCACATGCCCACCCTTGTGTACTGCCTTCTCTACCCCTAGCCTGTGCTGTGCGGGGGCTGCTGGCAGGCAGAGTGCCACCTGAGAGGCACTGGGAGCTGCAGGGCGTGGAGCTGCTGAGCCAGAAAGAACTGTATCGCCAGATTCTGCTGTTGCTGCACCTGCTGCCACAGGACCTGCTGCTCCTGCAGGTCAGGCCTCTCCCAGTAGCCTGGCTCTGGGCCTGCCCCTCCTGATTGTGGGAGGGGGGCCATCTCTGCTGAGCTTCTGAGACCACCTGTGGCAGTGGGTCTAGCCTTTCTCTGCCTCTGTTAGTCCCTGCCATGCACCTTGCTCTTAAGGCCACATGGTACCTCTTTCTCTCTAGCCCTGCCAGTCTTCCTACTGCTACTGTCAGGAGGTGCTAGACCGTCTCATCCAGTGTGGGCTCTTGGTTGCTGAGGAGGTAGGCAGGGCAGTTGGAGACAAAGCTTCTGCTTGGGGCCTGGGCTCTTTCATTCTCTCCCACTGAGTGACAATTGCCCACGGGCTTGTCTCGCTCCATGTTTACTGTGGGGGGGGGGCAGCCTTCTGGACTAGCAGCTGGAGCCAGGGCAAAGCCTGGCAGATGCGAGCAGCCTGCGTCCTCCCTCTACTACGATTTGGGCAGCCCACATCTGCCCTGGGCCTGTGTGTCTATCATGACAGGAATAGACAGATGTGCCTCTGAGGTTCTCTGTATACCCCCTGCCTCCACATTTCTTATCCACATGGGTGTGGCCCTTGGGGATGGATACTCATATTGTCTCACTCTGCAGGTTGGCTCAGCAGATGCCATGGTCTGGTGTAGCCCTGGGCATCCTCTTGGGCTCCCTGGATCTGCTTTTTTTTGGTTTCACCTGCATGCGCCTGGTCTGGGGTGTAGGGCTGAATGCTGGCCAGCCTGGTGGTGACCAGTGGCTCTCATGGCCCCCAGACTCCAGGCTCCCATCTGGCCTGTGACACAGGGCGACAATGTTTGAGTGCAAAGCTGCTGTGGAAACCAAGTGGGGACTTTACTGATAGTGACAGTGATGACTTCGAGGAGGCAGAGGGCCGGTACTTCAGGGTGCGTTGGGAGAAGCCACCCAGGGAGGCTGTAGGGCAGTGTAGGGTGGGAGGTTGCTCCTTACGCTGGCCTTTCCCTCCTCCAGCTCAGCCAGCAGTCACGATGCCCTGACTTTTTCCTCTTCCTCTGCCGCCTACTCAGCCCGCTGCTCAAGGCCTTTGCACAAGCTGCTGCCTTCCTCTGCCAGGGGCAGTTACCTGATACAGGTGAGGCCCTCCCTGGTCTTGAGTCTTGGAAACCTCCCCAGGCCATCTAGCCTTGTCACAGGCTATGCCTGAGGCTCCCTTGGTACAGACCCTCACTTCCCTTGTACTCCTCAGAGAGGCTGAGTTCACAGCAGGGGCTGTGTGTGTGCGAGGTACCGGGTCCAGGTGTTGTTCTGTGTCCACAGAGTTGGGCTACTTGGAGCAGCTGTTCCAGTTCTTGCAGGCTACGGCCCAGGAGGAAGGGTTCTTTGGTGAGTCCAAATAGCCAGCCTAGGTCCCAGGGAAGCCAGTGGGTTTGCTCGTGGCTGCTGCCCCCTGCTTGGAAGTGGCAACCCAACACTAGGCAAGGAGAGCTGGAGAGGACTGAGGGCCTTTTGGTCCAGTCTGAGCCCTACCTCGGGGCTCACTGCCTCCCAACCCCCGCCTTTACCTCTATCTTCCCTCCAGAGTGTGTGGACCCAAAACTTGCCACTAGTGCTATCTGGACCTTCAGAGACTTGGGGGTAAGAAAGACTAGTCTCACCATCTACCTGTCTCCCTACCAACACCATCCATACTCCTGACTGACATGCTCGGTGAAGCCCAGGTGTGCAAACCTGGGGCTTACCCTGATGATGCCTTGTTAAGACCTTGGATTGACCCAGTGTCTCCTAGGAATAAGTATGGTGACAGCGGAGAGGGTAGGATGGTTTTCCTGCCCCACTTGGTCTCCCAAACCACTGACTCATTCTACTCCCAGGTGGGGTCTAAGGGGTGGTTTAAGAGATGAAGCAGCACACTGAGGCTTATCCCAGAGGTTTCACTGTACTTTCCTGGGGCACACTCCCCCTGGTGAGCATGCTCACAACCCTTTCCATGCCCCAGGTACTGCAGCAGAAGTCAAGCCCTGCAGGCCCCATGCTCCACCTGTCCCCAACATTTGCCAGCCGGGACAATCAGGAAAAGCTGGAACAGTTCATCCGGCAGTTCATCTGTAACTAGAAGTGGGGGCGGAGCCTGTGCCGACACCTAGAGCATGGCCATGTTCTAGAGCTAGAAGACAGAGAATAGCCTGGCAAATACTTAGCTGGACTACAAAATCTTTTGAGGTTTGACTGTCCCTTGCTATTTCTTGCTTTCTCCATTCTTTGGTGTAATAAACAGGGGGACTAGGTGACTGCAAGCCCAGCAGCATGTTTTTGGCATGTCTGTATGTGTCTGCTCTTTGATTCCCCAACCCTGTGAGAATGCCTTGTCTCACTCCTTTGAAACAAACCCTGAAAGAAGACAAACAGTAGCAGAAGCCAAGCTGCTGCTTTGGCCTGAGAAATTTATTAAGGGGTACTCCATCTCCTTTCCCTTCTATCTGAAAGAGGGCTGCAAGGGGTCTGGCACAGCCCTTGTAACACTCGGCCTTCCCTCTGCTGAGCTGAGAGAGAACAACATCTCCACCTTAAGTCCAAGAACGCAGCCAGAGCCCTCACACCACCTTGTTGATGATGACGCCTAGCTCTTCAATCTCACACTGGACTTCATCTCCCTTCTGTAACAGAGCAGGCCAGAAGAGTGTCAGTCCTTCAGTTTCATATACATACTCCTATGTACACATGGGAATTTTACAAGTCTGAGCCAAGACCCACCATGCCCCCTGGGTTCTTATTCCCATTCATTCTAACCAACCTACCTTGAGAAAGACAGGAGGTTTCCTGAATACACCGACACCTGGGGGTGTCCCAGTCAGGAAGATGTCTCCTGGGTAGAGAGTGACAAACCTGGGGCAAAGTAGACAGGCCAGGTGAGGCCATTGGCTGAGGTAGCAGAGACGGACAGAGGGCTTAGCCCAGACCCTGGTTGTATGTGGGTATGGGACCAGGTGGACCAAGAAAGGCTCCATCCCACTTACTGGGAGACCCAGGCAATTAGGTCTTCTGTCTTAAACACCATCTGGCTGGTGCTGCTGCTCTGCATCACCTCCCCGTTGACTCGGCAGCAGATTTTTAAGTTGTGTGGATCTGAAATGCAGAGCATACGATCTTGGGGCAATCTCTTTTTCCCTGCCCATATTTAGCTAGAAAATGAAAGCAGCAAGAGGCCTCATGACTTGCCAGGTGAAAGGGCTGTGCGTTGTGGGTCTCCTTGCGTGTGACTTGGCACTCCCTACCCTGTGATGTTCTGTGTACACGTTGGCCTCTTCAGGGTAGAAGCTCACCACTTAGCCTCCCTGTGTATCCACCACATTGCAGAATGCCTGGCATTCATCACTGCTTCAAAACCATAAGGCATTGGGTGATTTAAGGAAAGGAGGTCCCAGACTCTGAGCAGGGTGAGAGAAATGGCTAGGGTGTAATAGCACATGCAGGCACAGTGAAGCCTCACATACCTGATACTGGTAGTGGGGAGGTAGCCATAATATCATAGCTAATAACTCTTTCAACTTTTCTGATGGAGATCAATCAATGTGATTTACACACACATACAGCCCTTAGGTGTAGAAGCTGGAACGCAATTTAACTTTCTGATGACTCTGGCTTCAAAGGGGTGCTGGGATACAGTGATGCCTTTAGCACAGCTGAGCCATGTGGGCTGGACCTGTTCCCACTCTGAATGGCTGCATCAGCTGTGGGTTCAGAGGCTGCACTTGGCCCACTGTCTCTCCTCCAGACTTCATGTCCTTGCTGCTTTCAGTTCAGTGCTGCTCTGCATGCACAGCGACTTGGGTAAGGGCCTCTTGATGCATCTCCCTTGAGAAAATGCATAGTTTTTTTGTGATGGCCACTCTCTGTGATGCTCCAGAGCCAGGTGTACTTTCTACTTAAAGGCTGTTCCAGATGGTTGCAGCTAGAGGAAACCTGATCCACTGATCAGTGGAGCACTGCTCTTTGTAACTCACTTCCTGAATGCTAGAATTGGTATTGGAACTGCAGCTTCACAGCCTCTGCAGCTGTGTTATCTGTAGTGTGAAGGGACATGGGAAGGAGGGCTGCTGGAGAATTCATGGCTGAGGCTGGGAGACTTGCTAACGGAGTAAGCCGCAAAAGGGCAGCTGGTGAAATGGTACAACCACTGTGGAAAGCAGTATGGTGATTCCTTCAAAAGTTGGAATTAGAAATACCATTTGACCCAGCTATTCCATTACTAGGTATATACCCTAAAGAAGTGAGAGCCATGACAAGAACAGATATATGCACACCCATGTTCATTGCAGCACTATTTACAATAGCCAAAAGATGGAAACAACCTAGATGTCCATCAACTGAGGAATGGATAACCAAACTATGATACATACACATAATGGAATACTATGCGATGCTAAAGAATAATGTAGAATCTGCAAAACACCGCATAACATGAACTTGGAGGACATTATGCTGAGTAAAATAAGTCAGTCACAAAAGGACAAATATTGTATTAGTCTGTTATTGTAAAAGTTAAGGAAAGGTTTATCTATTGAAGGAAATTTTCTTTGTTGGTTACCAAGGGTAGGAGGGGAGGGAAGGGAATGCTGTTAGATAGATAGAGATAAGTATTGATTTGGGTGAAGAGAAGGGCAATGTACCAAATGTGAGTGACCAATATGGCAGCACTGAGGATGAGAAAGACATAGAGAGGTACATGGGAGGTACAGACAACAAATATGAACCCTTTTGCACATACAGTACTGCATTGTCAGTGAAGGATAACATGGGTATATGGGTGGATAGATGGGTGGACAGGCTGAACAATTAGGTATGTCTATGAAATGGGGAGTGTATCCAAGAACATATATAGGGTTGGCAGACAATGGTCCTATAAGTTTATGTGAATGATCAGAATTCCCAGGTGTATAGTAGAGCTGACAAGAGGCAAGGTTGTGGTCACTGCTTGGTCACAGCCAGCTACCCAGAGGGACCGAGTAGTTGAACCTGCAGGCTTGAGACCATAGTCACAGGGGACATCAAGCTCAATAGGCATAACATACTATAGAAAACATTGTTCCACCTCCTACTTTAGCGAGTAGCGACTGGGATCTTAAAAGCTAGCAAGCTGCCATCTAGATGCAACAATGGGTCTCTCCTCGTCCAGAGCAAAGAAGAATGAAGAAAACCAAAATTCATGGAAACAATTAGTCCTAGCGACTGGTAACCATCCGATCTGCAGCCTACATGACTATGATACCAGTAGAACTAGATGGTGCCTGGCTACCACTGTCATCCACTTGGAAGGGGATCTATGTAGGAGATCCTTGATGGAGAGGGAGAACAATGTGGAACAAAACGGAAAATCATTTGGAGGGAAAAAAAAAAAAAAGGTCAGGGGGACCAGGTTTGCTGGTCCGAAAGAGCCTGGGGGAACCACTGAGACTATGGCCCCTAACTTCCCTTCAGGTCTGGAATTGAACCCACACCTGTGATTTCCAGCCAAACAAAATACAGGCATATGAGTAAACATTTACCTCATATACTCTCCTTGGAGAGAACAATCATGGGAGAAAGAAGGGCTGCTTATGCACAGGGAGACAGCTCAGGGGGCAGGAGTTCATGGAGGGATGGACACTGGGAAGAGGTAACTTTGGGGAGGAAGTGGGAGGGGAGCTGTTGCATTGTGGTAAACTGTGGTCAATGTCATGAGACAAAGTATATGTAAACTGCTGTATGGAAAGTGAATTTGCTCTGTAAATCTTCACCCAAATCTCAATAATAAAAAAATTTTTAAAAAAAGGGCAGCTGGTGAGTGGGGGGCTCCACTCTAACTGGACTCCTGCTTCCGGGGGTAGGTTCTCCTTACTCTGAAGTATCTGTACAAGGGCAGAAGCAAGGTACCAAAACCAGAAAAGAGATCATGTGGGTATGGTAGAAACCTACCTGCTACACTGTCCTTGGTCACCAAGGCAGGGCCCAGGGGGCAGAAAGTATCAAAAGTTTTTCCCAGCAGCCACTGTTTTCCATTGCGTCTCATTTGCCAGTCCCGAGCACTTACATCATGTGCCACAGTGAAGCCAGCCACATGAGCCATGGCATCTGTGGCCTGTAGGGGTGAGGAGATTTGGCCAAAGTGGAGGTTAGATCACATGTGACACCAAACCATATGATAAAGGATCTCAAAGCTTTTATCCCACCATTGATAGCTAAGGCCAGGCAAATGTGGGCCGGGTAGGACAAAACAGCAGCAGGTGGGTGCTGAGCACTGCTCAGTGCTATGGCAGCCGGCATCGCCGAGCTGATGAGCAAGGTCAGCACCAACAGAGGTACCAGCTGGGGCCTCTGCTCCACTCTTACCTGGGAGTGCACCCCTTCCACCTCACCTTGATATGCTTGCCCTTCTTTCCAATGACCACAGCCATCTCCACCTCCCAGTCCACCTCCTGTAGGATGGGAACAGAAGCATAAACTGCTGTGGCTCTGGGACCCATTACCATCTCTGAGAAGCATCACTCTTTAACAGTGGGGGTCAGCTGCCAGCCCACTTTGCAATCACCATAGTGAACAATAGGGGAGGTGTGCCTTGTAGAGCCATAAACTTTGAGCAATGGATGTTAACACTACTGACTGGGGGGGGACGCACCTCCCCTCTGTGACTGTAGGCGACGTGTGTCTGTGGGTCTGAGTTTAAAAGTCAGTCTCAATACTTGCAACAAAGGATGAGTATTTTTTATATATAAAATGCATTTCTAGAGGCGGGG